GAGACAGATGTCCGTCCATACCTCACAGCAGGCATCACCTGAAGCCACGCCGGCTAAGAGGCTCCGAGGCCAGAGCTGCTCAGCCTCTCCGGTAGCGGGAAAGGCCGGGGAGGGGGCCCTGCCGAGGGATGTGGGGTCCGGCAGGAAAGACATCCCTGGGGACTGCTGCGGGGTCAGGAGCCCAGCACCCGGCAGGCGACCCCTGGCGGGCAGGCAGCACCCATGTTTGCCCCAGGTCTGTGTGGGGCAAGGAGAGAATCTTCTAGAAGCCAGCTGCACCCAGCAAAGGAGTGAAGCAAGGCCCAAGCTCACACTCCACCCCCTGCAGTCTCCAGCCAGCCCCATGGCCGAGCCCCGGGGAACGGGCTTCGGCTCCAGCAGAAACCCCAAACCTCAGAGCCCGGCCCCACAGAGGAAGGACCGAGCCAGCACGCGGGCCGGATGTTCTGGCGGCCGGAGCTCCAGGCCTGACCTGCTGGCGGTCGCCGGAGGCTTACCGTTGTGGTACCTGTGTCCCGCCCTGAGGGCAGCGTGGTGCCCCGGAGCTGTGCCTGGCACGCAGGGGTTTGGGGCAATGGTGTGCGTGGCCGACCCTGGGGGAGGCGGGCCCCACTGCCCTGTGTGTACAGCTGGGGCGCATCCCCCCGGAAAGCTGAGGGGCCAGCGAGAGTAGGACCCCGGCTTCCAACCCGAAAGGGAAAGGGAGGATGGCATGGGCCGTCTCCCAGCACCGGTCCCTGCTGGGCAGCCATTGTCTCCTCAGTCTCCCTGAGGATGGGGGAGGGCCTGGCTCTGATGCCCCTAGTCCGTTTTACTAACAAAGAAACTGAGTCACAGAGCAGCTGGGGAGCTCTCCTCCGGTCACACAGCTAGCCCGGGCAGGAGCAGGGCCGTGATCCTGGCAGAACCTGCAGTCACGGTGCCCGTGGAGCCTGAGGCCAGCAGGGGGACCTGGGAGCAGGCAGCTGGGTGCTCACATCCAGCCTTCCCCAAACCGCCTGCCAGCCAGACACACGACCTCTGACCTCAGCCAGACACACGACCTCTGACCTCAGCCAGACACATGACCTCTGACCTCAGCCAGACACACGACCTCTGACCTCGTTGGCCAGGCCCGCCCCTCCCCAAGGTCACAACCCAGGAGGGAGGGGGTGAACGGAAGTGGAGGAGGCGATGGGGGATAACTAGTGATGGAAATAAATAAGTAAAAACACAGGCATGAAACCGATGATTACAGGATTAACGGAATCCCTGACTCACTGGCTGTAAGGAAATAATTCCCAACATCTGAGCACTTTGCTATTGTCACAGACTGACGGGGAGTCTCCCCTGCAGGCTGGGAGGGCCCGTCCTAAGCCTCCAGAGGAATGGGGGTCCTTAGGGGGCTCAGACAGAGGAATGGGGGTCCTCAGGGGGCGCAGACAGAGGACGGATTGGAGGGTGGGAGCCCCATTACTGAGCGTCTGGCCGTCCAACCCTAAGCAAGGCTGATGGGGCTCCCCGCTCCCAGGGTCACTCACCTGACAATTCCCAGGGGCCCTGGGGACCCAGGCCCATCCCAGCTGGGACTCCATGCCCACCGTCCGGAGAAGGAAGCAGTGACTGACCGGTGGCGGGCAGGGCCCCAGGGCTGAGGGCCCAGGGGAGACGCCTCCCGGCTGTCGCCCGGGAAGACCTTCTGGAGGCCTCACTGGGCCTTGCAGGGGGCAGGGGGGCGCGAGGTGCATGGAGTGGGCTTCTGGGGGGCCGCAGTGGGCGGGCCGGAGCCTCCAGAGCAGGACCCGGCTTGCTGATGCGCTGCCCTGGTTCAGCTCCCTTGCCAGCTGCCCAGTGGGGCCGCTCGTGGTGTCTGGTGCCCCCTGGCGGCACCCCGCGGCGGTTAGAGAACGCATGCACCACAACGAAGAGTCAGAAGAATGGACTTTTATGCAGAAGGAAACATTCTAGCAAAAACTCTATCCATTGAGCCGACGCTCTATCCATTGAGCTAAACCGGTCTTGGCTAAGCCAGGGTTTTTATCAAGGCTTTGAAATCTTATTTTATTTTATTTTTTGTTAACCCTCACCTGAGGATATTTTTCCATGGCTTTTCAGAGAGAGTGAAAGGGAGGGAGGGGAGGAGCGGGTGAGAGAGAGAGAGAAACATTGATGTGAGAGAGACACACTAACTGATTGTCTCTTCCAACCAGGGCTAGGGAGTGAACCCACAACCCTGGTACATACCCTCCAAACCCAAGACCCTGCAGGCCGATCAAACCCAAGACCCTGCAGGCTGATGCTCTAACCACTGACCCATACCAGCCAGGGCAAAATCATTTTTATCTGTGTATGGAGAGGTGCCTAAGTTGCCATTGCAGGTGGCGGGGGGTGGGGTGGGGAGTGGCCGGGGAGAGGTCAATGGGGGGAAAGGGAGACATATGTAACACTTTCAACAACAAAGAATTTAAATTTAAAAAAATCGCTGTTGCAGCTTGATTTTTACAAACTGACCATACCCCCCATGTAATCAGCACCCAGACCCAGAAGCAGAACATGCCCCGTGGCCTCCGGCATCCTGCTCGTGCCCTCTGAGCGTCCAAAACAGAACTCCAGGCTTGCGGACACGAAGACAGTCCCTCTGGGACTGACCCGGAGCGCACTGAGGGGAAAAGAGGGAGCCCGAGTGATGCTCACGTATTCGCTCAGCAAACATGTGCTGGCGCCCGGCCCGGGCCGGAAGCTGGGAAATATGGGCTCGTGGATTCGATGCTGGTCCAGTGGCACAGTCTGTGGGGGCAGCCCTGGGGTGAGCGGGTGCAGGGAGGGAGTGTGTGAGCGGATAGGAGCCCAAACGCGTTGGCCAAACCCAATCAGCTGGCCCCTCGGGGAAAGCGGGCTGGGATGGTGAGGACAGTAGTGAGGACAGTACTGTCAGGGTGTGGAGCAAGGGGACAGCCGGAGCCAGGGGGCGGAAGCAGGAACAGACAGGGCGCACGAGTTTGGGGAAACAGGTGGGCTGTGACCATTGGGTGTGCCGGCCTCTGAGCCTCGAGCAGACATTTCCACTTCTCTCTGCCCCAGCTCCAGCCTCAGCTGTGCAGGCTCAGAACGAGGCCTTACCCCTCAGACCTGAGTCCCATTTCACAGGCGGGGTCCCAGGCCTGGAGGAGAGAAACACACCCACAGCCCATCCTTCACGGCGCCAATCCCTCCTCACTCCACACCTCTTTACAGAGCAGCCCCCGCCCCAGCAGGCCCCCACCCCAAGCCTAGGGCTCGGGACTCAGACGTGGGCACAGATTAGAGGTGAGGCCTGAAGCAGGAAGGCTCTTTGGGGAAGTGAGTTTTACAAGGGATGGGAGGAGGGCAGGGTGGGGCCTGCAGGCCGGATGGGTCAGGAATGGAGGCTAGCGTGCCTGCAGGGGTGACTGGAGACGCAGCTGGCTGGGGCCCAGCTGGGTCACTCCGTCCCCCGCTCCCCCGTCCTTGGAAGTGGGTCACCCAGGGGTGCGGTCTGGAGAAGGCCTCTGGCTGCTTCACCCAGCTCTTCCTGTCTGCAGGTGCCAGCACATGGATGGGTGCCAGGCCGGATCTGGACCTTCATCGGATCACATGCCCAGCTGACCTTCTACCTCCTCACCCTCGCCCCCCTCAGACCTACCTACCAACCCTCGGGGTACCCCCACAAAGCACAACTGAGGCAACAGGCTCAAAGCCCTTCGTCACTCCCACGCTGTGCCAGGTGGGCAGTCAGTGTGGGCAGGAAGGGCTTTGAGACCCTTTTTTTGTTGTTAATCCTCAGCTGAGGATATTTTCCCATTATTATTATTATTTTTTTTTTTTGAGAGAGTGGAAGGAAAAAGGAGAGACAGAGAAACATCGGTGTGAGAGACACACGGATTGGTTGCCTCCTGCACGCACCTGACTAGGGCCAGGAATCCAGCCTGAAACCAATGTATGTGCCCTTGATGGGAATCGAACCCAGGAGCCTTCAGTATGAGGACTGATTCACAGAGCGACAGTGGCTAGGACTTGGCCTGAGACCTCGTCATGGGGGATGGGTGCGACCATTTCTGGGTTCTTCAGAGGAAGTTCTCAGAGAAACTGGTCTTTGCAACTTGGTGACGAGAGGGAGGTTGACAAGGAGCTGGGTGGGTGGGTGACAGTCCATCTGGCTAGGGCAGGAGGAGGAGGGCAGGGGCAGGAAGCTGCGACAGGCGGGCTCGCACTGCCGCAGGGGTCAGGAGCAGAGCGGTCTCAGAAAGGGCCTGGGGCCGGAGCCTGGAGGTGAGCAGCCACAGGGGTGAGAGGGCCGGGGAAGGTCAGGAGACCTTGGGCTGGGGTTCGAGGCGGGATCACGAGGGCCATTTGCGGAAGAGAGCGGGAGTGGGCGGGGCCAAAGAAGGAGGAGGCGGGAGGGTTGTGGGGGGAAGAGACGGCCGGCGCGGACTCTGGGCGGAGGAAGCGGGGGCTGGGGGCGGGCCCTGTGGGTGGGGCGGGGCCTGGAGATTAAGGGGCGGGGCCTGGAGATTCAGGGGCGGGTCAGGGAAGCCAGAGGTGAGCCCGAAAGTGGCCGGGAAGCGGTGTGGGCCTGGCCTGGCGGTCCGGGCGGGGCCTCGAGGGCGGGGCGTGAGGCGGGGCGGGGCCTCGAGGGCGTGAGGTGGGGCGGGGCCTAGAGGGCGGGGCAGGCGGCCAACGGCCTGGAGGCGGGGCGGGGCCTGAAGGGCGGGGCGGGGCCTGGAGGCGGGGCGGGGCCTGAAGGGCGGGGCGGGGCCTGGAGGCGGGGCGGGGCCTGGAGGGCGGGGCGGCCGGCCGGGGCCGTGAGGCGCGCGGGCGGAGGCGGGCGGAGGTGCGCTTGCCTCTCGGCTCAGCGGGCGGCGGCGGCGGCGGCGGCGGCGGCGGCGCGCACAAAGGCGGTTGTGGCCTCTCTGGTGCTCGCGGCGGGCGGCGCCGGGGCGGGGGCGGCGGGGCACGCCGGGTGTCCCCGCGGGCGCGGCGCGGGCGATGAGCCGGGGCCCGGCATGGCCTCTGCGCGGCCGCCGGGCTGGGCCTGCGCCTCGGCGCCCGCGCCCGCGGGGCTCCGGGTCGGGCCACCTGTCCCGCCCGCCGCCGCCTCCCCCGAGCCCGCGGGCAGCGCCGAGGCCGAGGAGCGCTCGCTGCAGCGCATGCTGCGCGCCATTGCGGAGGAGCGCGGCCGCCTCAGCCTGCGCCGCGAGGTCGGCGGCCTCGGTGAGTGCGGCGGCGGGGCCGGGCGGCGGGGCGGCGGGGCGGCGGGGCCGGGGCGGCGGGGCCGGGGCGGCGGGGCCGGGGCGGCGGGGCCGGGGCGGCGGGGCCGGGGCGGCGGGGCCGGGCGCTTCTCCAGTGTCTGCGCGTCTCCGTCCGGAGCGTGTCTCGGTGCCTCTGTCTCTGTGTCTCTGTGTGTCTCTGTCTCTGTCTCTTTCCCTGCCGTGTGTGCGGCCCCTGCGGGCCGTGTTCCCCCCTCGCCCCCAGGTCCCGGCGCCCGGTTCGTCCCCCGCCCCTCCGTCCCCGTCCGGATCTCGGCCGGAGCGGCTCTTTCATTTCCCGGGTCATCGGCGTCTCCTCCGGCGGCTTCCTCCTTCCCTCCCGGGCGCCGCCGGCCCTCCCGCTCCGGGAAGCCCTCCGGGCCTGGGCCCCCAGGGAGCGGGCGCTGGGTTCGGGGAGACCCCGGCTGTCACTGCGGAACCGGCCCGGCTCCGGCCCACCTCCCGGCAGGTGTGCCCCGGCACGGCCCCCGCGGACCAGGAGGCCGCGTCCGGCTTCCTGAGCCTTTGTCCTGCCCTCGCCCGGCCCTTCCTCCGATCGGAGACCTGTTGGGCTACGTCCCTGAGCCCCCGCACATCCCCCCAACCCCTCCTCCCCAAGGCCCGTCACAGCGGCAGCGGCGGGCGGGGGCTGCAGGTGTGGTGGGTCGGCCTGGCCGGGGTGAGGTCATCCGTGCTGGCGGATCCCAGCAGCCCCCTCCCCTGAGTGCGGGTTTGCCTTGTTCTTCAGGAAAGACCCTCCCTTCTTCCTGCGGGAATGACTTCATAGCACGCCGTCTGCCGCCCCCACCCACCCTCACCCGCCTCGGGGCTGGGATTTCTGAGGAGGACGGCGTGGTGGGAAGGAATGTCAGCCTTGGAGCCAGCACACCCTCCATTCACCACCGGGGAAACTGAGTCCCGGGAGCCCACGCCTCCCCTTAGAGGCACAGGGCAGCAGGGACACGCAGCCACGCCCTGGAGGGTGGACGGAGAGGAGTCAGGCCTGTTCTCCTTTGTGTGAGGGCAGGCTGAGCCCGCGGCCCTCCCCTGGAGCAGGTCCTGGGCGGCGGGGAGGGGGGAGGGGGGACGCGGACATAGGTGTCTTTTCTGAGAAGGGTCCCAGCTTAGCTTTGAGCAGAAATGAAAGGGTCCGCATTAATTCATTCAGCGGACGTTCACTGCGCACCTACTGTGTGCCAGACTGTGTGCCCACCTGTCACCTGGCACAGAGCGTCTGACACGGGAGGGGTCTGAGGGGCCATCTGCTCTAGCCCTTCCGCCCTTAGCTCAGCAGCTCCGGCAGCCCCTCCCCACGCCTGTCCGCATGCTCCCACTGCCCTCTGACCCCTGAGCAACCCCCCCCCCCCCCCCCCCCCCCGCTAGGAGCCCGAGGGCCACCCCGGAGAGCAGTAACAGTTTGCTCCAGCAGCTGGCATTCGCTGAGTCCCTACTGTGTGCTGTCAGCTCGCTGCCGGAATCTTCTTGCCTGAGGCTCTGGCTCAGCTGGGACTGACCTTCAGTCAGTCACCCGGATCCCGCCCCCTCCCCCATGTCCCAGCCGGGCCTGGCTGCACCTACTGAGCTGCACCTGGGAGAACTGGCCCCTGGTCGTAGGCCGAGGGCAGAGCCTGCTGGTCACGCTATTCCTCCGTTTCCTGTCCCGGTCTCCAGTCCTCCCTCCTCACAGGTCCCATCTTACCCTCCCCTCCCACACTCGCCTGAACTTGGCCCTGCTGAGGCGCTGCACGCTTAGGCCTCCCATTTTCTCCGCCCGAAAGACCACCCCTGCTCACTTGCCCTGCACACGCCTCAGGTCTCCCCTCCAGCCTGGGGAAGCCCTTCTGCCCCTCCCTGTCCCCCACCCCCCGCCTGCGCCTGGGGACTGGGTGCGTGTCCGCTGGACACTCAGGTGCTGGCGGCGCTGTCTCTGTGCGGCTTCTTCCTAGTTAGCAAGGGGCCCTGCGGGCACTGCCCAGTCTGTGCCACCTCCTCGGTCCGCACAGGCACGTGCAGGGCAGGGCCCGGTGAGCACTTACACTCTTTCTGGGCTGGGAAGCAAAGGGGGTGGGCCCAAGGAGAAGGGAACTAGCCCCCTCGTAGGGCTCTGTTCCCGGCTCTCTCCAGTGAGACGAGGGATGTTCAGGGAGAGGACCCGAGGGCTGGCCCGAGCACCCGCTGTGACCCCGGGACAAGCCCCGTGTGCGTCCAGTGGCTCAGGAAACCCTGTCTCCACGCCACAGCTGTGGCCACCTGTTCGTTCCTCGCAGGTGGTGGTTGTTGCCGCGGGCACAGGGCCTTCTGAGCCGCGCCGTGCCCTCGGGCGGGTTGGAGCGTCGGGGAGGCTGGTGGAGACGCGGCTGGACAGGCCGTGGGTCTGAGTCACAGCGTGTGAGCGGAGGAGGCCGCCCGCCGCTGGCTGCCAGGATGAAAGGCACCTTGTGGAGCCAACCGGACCTGGCCGGCCGGCACAGCAGTCTGGAGCACTCGCTCCGTCCGTCCGTGCGTGCCTGCCGGGAGGGGTCGGCCCTGACCCGCCTGGTGGAGGGCACGGAGCCGGGAGCAGCCAGGCGCGCGGGGGACCCCGGAGGAAAGGCGCTCCTGGCGGATCTCGGTGGTTTGTCCACTGGGAGCTGCTTGTCATTCCAGGGAGCGGGGAGCCGCTGGCCGGCAGAGGTGGCTCTGTGGGCCTTTGGGACCTGAGCCGGGAAGCATGAGGGGCCAGTGCCCAGATGCGACGCAGACATCGGACCAAGGAGGCTGTCCCTGACCCCCTCTGGGGGCTGGCCTTCTCCTGGGCCTGGACGTCCAGGCCTGGGCAGCGGCTCCCTTCCGGCAAGGCAGCAGGCCAGGTGGACACGGCCTGGCCACAGAGCGTGAGGGGGGCCTCCGTCACACTGTTGTTTCTGGTCCTGGGCAGGGTGGGCATTGCGGGGCTGTCCCCTCTGGTGAGGTCGCCTGGAGATTCTCTGTTTGAAAAGCTGTGGGGCAGAAGGTGTGCTTTGTGGCCACTGCTTCCTTTTGTCCTCAAAATAACCCTACCCGGTAGGTACCAGGGTACTCTACTCTTTTTTATAAAAAATATGTATTTTTATTGATTCCAGAGAAGAAGGGAAAGGGAGAGAGAGATAGAAACATCAATGATGAGAGAGAATCATTGATTGGCTGCCTCCTGCTTGCCCCAAACTGGGAATTGAGCCTGCAACTTTGGGCATTTGTCCTTGACCGGAACCGAACCCGAGGGTGTCCAAAACCAGAGGGGCCGTGAGCACCGAGGATGCTGCCCGCCTGCGTGCCAGCCGCTCTGTGCCCACGGCAGGTCTCCTGCGCCGGGAGCTTCCGTTCTCACCCGTCCTGCGGATGAGAAAAGCGGGCTTCAGAGGAAGCAGGTAGCCGGGAGGTGGCGGGCGGGGGCCGTGAGACCCCACAGGCCAGTCAGGTGCGAAGAGCCATATTGCAGAGTTCACGGAGTGAGCCAGAGGAATGAGGGGGGAACTGCCCTCCCATGGCCTCTCCTGGGTGCTGAGCGCCTGCCAGCACCCTGTGAACTGGGAAAAGGACGCCCCGTCGGCCTGGCCCTGGCGCTGGGTGCAGCGGCGCTGGGTGCAGTGGCGGGTGGGGACTTGAAGGGAAGTCTGTGTGGCCCAGACACGTGGCCCTTCCAGGCCTCCGTGTCGTCATCTGTGAAGTGGAGTAGCCACGCGACGGCCGGAGCTGCTGGGTTGTAGAGAAGTGCCAGCACAGCCTCTGGCAGCCGAGGGGGAAGGTCCCCCAGTGGTGTTGTCGCCGTAAAGGGCACCAGACGCGCCCGCACGGGAACTCGGCCTGGATTCGCACGGAGCCCAGACCGCCCTGCGTCTCGGACCCTCGGGAGGCAGACGGTTCCAGGCCAATGGCCGGGGAGGAAGTGCGGGTGCGGAGGGGCCTCTTTCGGTTCCTGCCTGTGTAAAGGCCTGTGGTTCCGGCTCCAGCTGCCAGTGGGTCTCTCCGGAGCAGGAAAACCTGAGGACGCGGACCTCACACCTTCAAGAAACAAGGTCACAGCTGCAGGGGCCGCTGCAGGGTGAGACGGTGGGCAGCTGTGCTGGCACCGCCCCGTGCCCCCTCCCCCAGGCTGGCCTCCAGGCCTGCTCCACGTAAACTCGCTTCTTGCGCTGGGCAGGCTCCTGAGATCAGACAGGCTGTGAGCCACTTGTTAAAAAACAGCCTCAAAACCCCCAATTTCGCCCTGCTTGGTTCGGCTCAGTGGAGAGAGCGTTGGCCTGTGGACTGAGGGGTCCTGGGTTCGATTCTGGGTGGAGGGCTTGGTCCCCATGGGGGGGACGTGCAGGCGGCAGTCAATCAATGGTTCTCTCTTAACACTGATGTTTTTATCCCTCTCTCTTTCTCTCTAAAATCAATAAAAATACATTATAAAAAAAAAAAAAAGAAAAACCCCTCAATTTTTTCCAATTCAAAAAGTCACATGCACATAGCCGAAACTGGAAAATATAAGAAATGGGAAAAAAATTACTCACAGTTCCAATCACCCAGAGGCACACTGCTTATGAACTTTGCAAAATCTTGCTTTCCGATCTTTATAAAGCTGTTTAACGAACACTTGATATTCTACACACGTAGTTTCTTAGTCATGCCTTGTTACTAGGCTTCCTAACACAGTTCACGTGGCTCAGCCCTCCACCCTGTTTCAGTGACTGCAAGGCGGTTGGGTGGATGAGCCGTAACTTCCTAATTGGTCGGGTCTGGGGAAACAGCTCAGTTTTTCACTATTAAGAATCCTTTGCAACAAACTTCATTTGCACGGTCTGTGCAGTGGGGGCTTCTTTTAGCAGCCTGGGCTCTGCCCGGGTCCGTCCTCCCCGTGCCCCTTCATCTGTGATGGCTGGTGTCACCCAGGCGATCTGGAGGCTGTGCCGCCTGCCAGGGAGGTGGGGCTAAGGATTGCAGGTTCCTCCTATTCCCCTTCCC